TGGAAGGCACTCGGATCCTGTCTTAAATTTTCTCGTGGTGTGTGTGGACCCCGACTTGGACTCAGGTATTGGTGGGATCAGCAGTGGTTCTCGGCGATCGATCCCGTCACCCTCAGTTTATTAGATAATCTCTAGGTTCTAAATAAACTTTACGAGATGCAGAATTTTCCTCTAAACCAAAATGGTGAGAACTTGAGCGTCTGAGCTTGTGTGGTTATGGACTATACACACACACACACACGCAGAGGCAGGTGAGGGTAATTGATTATTGATCGAGTTCTCCTCTTTGTTCTCCATCACGCAGACACTCCTCATTCTACTTGGTGGCATTTTCACTCAAACAGAAGTTCCCTGAACATTTTTCCCAGACACACATCCATCACTGATATTCACTGTAAGGCAGTGGGAGCGATCCAATCAGCCGCAGTCCCTGTGTCACAGACAGGGCTGTGGAGTAAAGAGGGAAATTCACCTGCGCCGTCTTGATTAGAGGAGGAGCAGGAGGCGGCGGCCGAGCTGAGGAGCGGTGTTCATTACCCCGGACTCTAACCCTCTGGTTCTGAATTAGACCACAGAAGAAAAAGTCATTTGTGAAACTCTCTGGAGGAACTCATTAGAGCAAAGATCTCGGACGATCCATTTGTTGTTGTCGGCTACTTTCATATCAAGTCAGTAAATCTTCTCCCCCACTCCTTTATGAAGCCTCCCCGTACGTGCGGTCTGGACTAGTGGTCTCTTAGGTGAACAGCAGCGAGCAGCAGTCTGTGCGTGTACAGACCTGAACCTGCCCTGGTTCCAAAACACACTTGGACTCAACAGGACTTCACAGCATGAACGCTGACAAACGATGCAATGTAAACAACACATAGTCAATACTATATTGACATTTTATTAACGAGACAATTAATTAGGTCGAACCTGAGTCTGGTGTAGTTGGGACAGTGATGCCCTACTGTCCTAGGAAAAAGTTAAAACGCTACATCAGGTCTTAGGTTGAAGTAATAATAATAATAATAACATAATATAGAATATTAATAATAATAACATTAAAAAAAAAATCACATTTTACAGTTGTGATTAATCACAGCTACCGTGTGATTAACCCAATTAAAAATGATTCATTTGACATCCCTTATTATATAAATAATTATAGCACATTTCAACTTTAAATCTTTAGTTGATCAGCGTTGCCTGTTTTTCAGTCATGTTGTTTTTCAGATTGCGTTTTGTCTTTTTTTTGTTCTTTTGGGCTCTGCACCTCCTGATTGGTACAGATGACTTATTTTCATGCCTTTTCAAAACAAATGGTCAAGTTCATGCAGTTCATCTAATGCTTCACTGAACTGGACGTCAGCCAGAAAAACACGTTATCTGGTTGAAACGACACTTTGATTCAACCCCCATATGGCGTGGAGTGATTGCACTTGGCCACTTCTATTTCCTTGATCTGGGCAACAAGCCACACGTCAGCCTCACAACCTGAACTGGAAAAAAAATATATGCAATTTAAGTTGACGACCAGGTCGGACGTCGCCAAGAACACAGTATATATTTCTCCCCAAAAAAGCCTGTAGTTGTTGTTTACCATAAATACTGGATCCACCGTAGACTCTTATTTGTTTGGTCTTTGCCAATGATATCGCACCAGTGCCAGAAGTTGCCCACGATGTCTGGGTAAAAGTGGGTGTAAAGGATGAAGTTTGACGACGTGGCAATCAGCCATATAACGGCTGGCGTGAAAATCAAACTGTCTGAAACGCTGTTCTCGGCTGTATTAAACCACTTTAATGTCACTCTGACAGACAGTCACAACCATTAGTTTCAACACCTTCAGCTTTTATTCCCTGCATTTCAAAGTTGAGAACAGAGATGTTTTCCCTGTAGGTGAAGGTAAAAAAAAAAAATCTTGTTAATGTCAAACTCTGCACATACTTCATTCCACAGAGTGAAGGTCACACATCCACACGAAAAAGCTCCAGATAAATCACATGTTTGACTGAGACTTAGAACGGTGGTGTTGGAGAGCTGCAGCAGAGGACGGTGAAGGTGATGATGGATTAAAGGAGAGTCCGACCAGACATGAGGTTTAGATGTAACTAACTGTAAATCTGCTTATTTCTGTTGAACTGAATTGTCTGGCCTGGGGTGGGTTAAGGACCATTTCAGGAAAGCTTCTTTTTAACTTGATATATCATATATACCACGGTCAATTTTAGCAAATCCTTTTTTTTTAAACTTCTTTTTAAGCTCACGTTTTGCTTTAGTTAGTTACAATTTACTAATAGTTTAGTTACTATTTTCACATACATTTAGAAAGTTCATGTAAATATATTTTATACTTCCTGACATTAATTCTTGCAGTAAAAAATTTAAAATAATTTTAAAAAATATTTAGTTCTAAAGACCAAAGTGTGCAGTCAGTGTGTCTGATGGGTTCAGAACAGAGGTGGCAATCCATTAGGGTGCAGCGCTCACAATGTTGATTGACAGGTTGTCAGATGAAGTCCAGCAGGGGTCAGGGAAGGACCTTGAGATTTGAAAATTGAAAGGAGGCTCAGACCAAAGTGACATTGATGGACAGGATTAGAAGTGAGCGTTTGAGAGCGGCAGCTAAGGTGAAAGAGTTTGGAGCTAAGGTTTGGAACAAACTGTAATTAAATCTCACAAAGTTGATTGTGATGGAAGGAGAACAACCAGACCTGGGTCCTTTGTTTTAAACCCAGTACTGATTTCTCTTCTGTAACTTCATCTCCCTTATCAACTGCACACAGAGCACACGCTGATACTGATCAGACAGAATCACATCAAACCAACCACTAAAACTTAAGATTTGCTGTTTAAACACAGACGATAAAGATCTGTGGTTTCCGCCGCCGTCGTCGCCTTCTGTGTTGACGCTCTTTTTTTTTTTAACGCATGGGCAGCGTTGGTTCATTTGATCTGCTGGAGTCCACACAGTTTTTCTGATGAGGACTTTAGCTCCAGGTCACACATTAATATTCAGGACCATTCAGGTCCAATACATTAGGCTTTGATGGTTGGGCTCAGACCCCGTGAACAACACAACTGCTGAAATTCACAGCGCTCAGAGGGATTTGCATAAACTCAGTGTGTGTGTGTGAAATGGTGAGAGAAAAATCACAGAATTGCAAAGTTTTGCTCCAGGTGTCGCTTCCTGTTAACTCACACATCACTTTGTGCAGAGGATTTTTTTTTTCACCTGTGGTTTTTTTGCTCATTTTTAAAAAAACTCTTCAGACTGTTTGTAATTTCAAAAACTCTTCAGGGCCGTTGTTCATCATCGTAACGATATCTGGCCGGGGTCTCATCCCTCATGTTTTTCTGACTCCCAGTCCCTTCACAATCAATGTTTCTGAGATTTAATCACATAATTTTATATCCCAGTAATCCCTGTCAAAAACTGTGTTATAAGAATTGAAACTCACAAAAAATTATTTAAAATGTCAAATATATATGGCAACGTTAACCAGAGGATAAATGGAAATAATATTTAAAAAAAAGGATTCAGAAAAGCTGAATGTTACAAAAAGGAACTATAGTTTGATATTTGTTATTGAAAATTCAATATAGTGAAAGACCAAAAACTGAAATAAACCCCCCCCCCAGCTAAGATTAGCTTTTAATATGAACATTTTGTGTCCAGACAAAAATGAAATTGCTCCTTTTCTTGTGGCAGGTTTTTACTAAATTATTTAAAAATGAGATCTTGGCACTCGGTTCTAAGAAACATTCCTGACTGAATCGGCTCCTGCGAAAGAGTCCTGGATACACTTGGCGAAGCTGCACATCCGTGCTGCCAAAGCCACCCTGGAGCAGATCCCATAGATTTTTAAATAATGGTCTTGGATCCGGTGAGTGGAAAAACCAAGAACCACCAACCATGAGTCAGATGCACAGAGACACAGATTGGACTTTTTTTTGCTCAGTGACATGGTGGGTCCCGCTGCTGGAATATGAATACATGGCGTCCATAAATGGATGCACATAATCAGTCTGTGTCATTAGGCAGTGATTGATGGACTCTCCACAGGCCAGGGCTGTTAAAAAGGATGGATTTATTCTGTTGGTGCCAGGTTCTGACCCTGTTATCTGTGGCCTCAGCAGAAATCTACATTCATTACATCAGCTGTCGACTGCCTGTCCACCTGTGGTGAGTCTGTGTCAACGGCAGCCTCTGACAGGAAGTTATCTCCATCTGGTCTTTCAGTTCAAACTAAAGATTCATGTACAGTTTGTACCAAAATACCAGTTCTCGCCCCCGTTGTACGAGGACATTTTTACTACAGTCCTGATTTGTTTGTTGATATTTCCTGCACAAACATAAAAGGCTACAGTCGAAATGAACAGCCACAAACATCCAGTAAGAAAACTGTGACATGAGCTAAAAGTTTTAAAATCCCAGCTGCGCTGCCTGTTTCGGTAAAACAAAGCAAAACTGATATTACAGTAGTGGTTCTCAAAGTATGGCGGGTATAAAGTATATATCAAAGTATATCTGGGGTGCAACAAAAGTCAATCTCAATTTTCTGTTCATTTATTTATTTTTTGTTCAACAAAAATAACATTTAACCAAAAATATCAGTTTGAAATTGAATTCAGTGAAGTTGAAATAAATCATCAACATGGGGGTGGTCTTAACAACACCCAACAATAGGGGGTGCACATGGGGGTGGGCTTAACAACACCCAACAATAGGGGGTGCTGTGGAAAGAAAACACTGCTACAGTTTGGTTTCAAGACTAACATTGTTAGCATGGTTAGCAACTGCCACTGGACAATCACACATACAGACACAAGCTAAAACATTAACACAAGAAATGAACCATTTAATTCACAGTTATGTCCAACCTAACTTGATGTTTTTTGTGTGTTATTTTATTAGTATCTAAGGTTTTCATTTTTATTTTTCCTTATTTCCTCTTTGTTGTTTTGTTTGGTTTCCTGTTTCAGCTCCCTTCCTGTTTCCTGTGATTTGTTGGCCACGCCCCCATTTTGTTTCACCTGCTTTACTCCTGTCCTTTTACACTCAGGGAACCTAGACGTTCTTGATGTCTGTCTCTTCAAAGTTGTGTCTTTTTGGAATACCTGTTCACCAATAATCATGCCCTCCTCATATTTTGGAGCTTGGAAACCTTTTGTGAGTATATTTTATTCCCTTTTCTGCCTTTAAGTTTGTTTTAAAATGTCAGCAGAGAACCTTGAGGTGAAATGTTTTGTTGAATATAGACACATGTGTGGGGTTTTTGTGAGTGTTCTGAGGTTAAACCAAGTTGTTTAAGGCCGCCTGCTCGATATTATCTGCTCCTCTGTCTTCCTCACTCTCCAGCAGCTTCTAGTGAAACAAATGAACCTCTCCTCAGTCTAAGTGAAAGAGTTTTTGAATGTTGGCCTGACTTTAGTCAGAGATGTGGATCGGTTCGGTTGCTGTCGTGATCATTTGTCAGGCTGGCACTGACCCAGCGCTCTGAGTTGTGAGGAAGGTTGTAAAGACGGCAGCCTGATAACGTTGTACCTCACTTTTATGTATTGACCCCACTGTCTCGAGGAGGGAGGAGTGGGGAGAGAGAGAAGCCTGGCTGGAAGCTGCTGTGTCTCTTTTTTTTTTTTAACTAACTTTAAAGGATTGTGAATGTGAAGAATGTGTGTGGTGGCCATTTTGGGAGAAATTACTATCTTTCTATGTGTCTGAAGAAGAATGTTTGCTTTTTTTGTTGTTGCTAACTTCACAAAGAGTAAAAAGCATTATGCTAATGCTGAGGCCTGGTAGGCTGAGCCTGTGCCTACCAGGCCCCAGCATTAGCATAAACTGAACATGTAAGTAGATAAATATTCTGTTTTTACAGACAGTATATCATCTGACTTAATCATACAATGAAATATGTTGTTAATGCTACACTGTTTTTAAAAACCACATAGTTTCCCTGTCCAACAATCAACAAGCTTTTTTTTGTTGCTAACAATTGATTGTTGAAGCCAGACTGAAAAGGTTGTAAATCCACACAGTACCATGTTAAATTTGGATAAAATTAAAAAATATACATGGAATGAGTGAAAAACAACATCTTGGTGGCCATTTATAAGAATATATTTAACTAAAACATCCATTTAGCATTTTTGTTTTTTCAGAGCAAGCTCTCTGCTATGTTGTTGCTAATGCTAACCCATTCCTTTCTTTACAGCCAAAACACCTTATATTCAACATTTGTTTTTGTAGATGTATTCGTGTTAAAGCTTTGGTGTTTTAGCCAAAAGTAAGTAAGAAAGTCCAAGCTGGATATTAAATATTGAAACATGATAGCAGCTCCAAATGCTCAAATTTGAATTCAGCTAAGAAGAAACTGCTTTGATAACCTGAAAAAGCAGTGAGTGTGCACACAGTCTGTATCTTGCTCTGATTAATTAACTTAGCCACAAAATAAAGGAGTAAAATTGTAAATTACAGTATTGTTCAGATTTAATACATCCTTGTTTTCGATCTCTGTCGGTTTTTATCCCTGACTGGATTTTGTCCTTGTATGTCCGTTGGTGTGACTCCTCCGATTTGTTGTGAAGCATTCTTTCCAGCCATAACAAAGTGTTCTGACAGTTGTGATTTAGTTTGACACCTGAGACCCTCTTCTTTTCTTCTTTCTCTTTCCAAATCCTCCCAAATGCATTTCCTGGTGTAGCCTGAGGCGACGTCCTCTCTCTGAAGCCCAGATCCAGCCCTGTGTTCAGACAGATACTGATGACAGCAGACACTTTCTTAGCCGTCCAGCTCTTCTCCCTCTCACAGACTGTAAAACACATCCATACGGCTGTGTTATGTACTCAGTTGCAGGTGAATGCCTTACTAAGAGTAATGGTCCGAGGTTGTCGTCGCTCGGTAGTAAAACACATTTATGATAAAAGGATTTTCTTTTTACAAACACTGAAGCGGCACATACATGTAAATACGTACTTTTCCCTCTGTTTTTGTCTGTCAGAGTCAGTTAATTCTTTGCCCATAAGTGTTATATTTTTCTTTTTATATCACTTTGCCTTTTGGTCAGACTGCTGAATTCCAATGTAGCGTCGTTTCTTTTTATGTTCTTGTCCTCCTCTGTATGATGCTGGCTTTCTTCTGCTGACGAGTCAGGATACACAGGGATAAAATGTCACTGCCTTTAAACGTAAACTGATGGAATGATGCGGCACATAAAAGTGGCTCCACACTGCAGGTTTACAACTAAAAACAGAGATCAGTGGCTACACCGATATGTAAAGAAATCTTTAGTCTTTGAGCATTTTAGACATAATGTGACCACAGGAATTGAATAAACGTGTCTAGGATTGGTTCAGGCCTCAGTCCTGGAAAAGATTGAGGTGTTAAAGATGAATTAATCATCCATTCATCCGAACATGTACAGCTGTTGTCTCTTTTTAAACCTTTACATGAGGAAGTCTATACATTTTTAGACTGTAGTAAAGACTGTAAGGAAAACCAGCGACCTTTAAACCACTACACTGTGAGCAAAAACCTTAGTACTTTTCAGTAAACAAAGTTTGTCAAGTTTGTCACTTTAGGATCTTGTGCTGTTTCTGGAACAAAACATGTTTTTTTGTAATGCCGGTCATTATCCTGAGAATTCAATTACAATGTAAGTGTTCTTTCCCACTTTCTAAACTTAGATTGTGTGTAATGACAGGACAACATATCTAGGTGCATTATGGGAATTTCTCAGCTTGAGTTCTCTCTAGGACAAATCATAGCAGCTTGTTTCCAGGAGGTGAAAACTTTTTGAGAACAAATTTGTTTTTTTTTTAAATCACTGAAGTGGTTTATCCACTGAAATGACAACAGACAAAAACAACAACAACATCGCTTGTCTTTTTGCTGTTCCTATTTTCCACCTCAGTAAACCAGATAAACAACACTTCCTCACCAACCTTCTACACCGCAATTATGACACTCAAGCTGTTGTTGTGATGAATTGTACATCTGTTACAGTATTTTTTTTTCTCAGTAAAACATTGTTAAATTTACCACAGCGGCGTACAGATTTCTTCATCTTCCCGTTGAAGTTTGGGTTTTTGACGACAGCTGCAGTCACTCACTGCCTGTGAGTGTGACCCCACACCTGTGCCCCACACAGTGAAACTGGTCATTTGGCCCATTTACAGTAATCACAGCCCATTAGCTGCCAACTATCTGTAAAATGGGCAACAACTCAACAAACTCAGAACTGCATTTGTGGCCCTGTGTTTAACCAAGGAAACTTTTTTGGATCTGTATTTCCAATATCTGTTGGAGCAGATAATTGTAGCACCTCTAGTGGACATTTTTTTAACATCCTTTTTAACAACATTTTGCTTTACTTTTTTTTTTTTTTAAACATCCTTTTAACAACATTTTGCTTTACTTATTTTTTTTTAATTTATAAATTTACAATTCTGCTGTTTGACCTATTTAGGCTGCAATTTTCTTTTCATGATTTCTTTCATTATCATCTCGTCTCGTGCTTCATGACACCTGTCTTTGTCTTTCTTGCTTTGATATTATGAATCCAGTCTTTATTTTAGTAGTACTTCGTTGGCCCTGTCTCATTACTGCTACAGTACTGCGTTGACTTCTGTCTCTACTCTATATTTTGTTGCTGCTAACATTAGTACTGCTGTGTCTGTTGTGTTTGTTTATAGTTGAAGGTTATGGCCCTGCTTCATGACTCTGCTCTTTACTGACCCCTGCTGTATGACAGCTGCTTATATTAGCCGTTACTGTTTGGCCCCTGATTTATAATCATTGAAATCACATTCTCATTTATGTCGTTAGCAGACACTTTTGACCAAAGTGGTTTACAAGGAGGAGGATTAGTCATCAAGCTACAAAGACGAACTCTTGAAGCTCTTGAAAAGGAGAACCCTAGTTAGAGGAAAGTGGAAGGTTCTTAGGGTGCAGAAGTGGAGACGAGTGCAGAAGAAGGAGGGAAGTACAAGGAAGTTCTAGGACAGGAGGTGCTCTCTGAGGAGCTGGGTGGAGACGCCCCTCTTCTGGTGGTGTTTGGTAGTTTGTTCCACCAGTGTGGAATTGTGGATTGTCCTGTGTGAGGTGTAATATTTTAATATGTTTATAATTTTCTTTTATAAATCTTTGTTTATTCATATAATGAGTTTTATGAAAATATAAAATTTTAATAATTTTTTTTGACAGGCTGGATCACAGTTCCAGCCTGTGCTTCATGACTTCAGTCATATTTTTTTTTGTATGCCTGTGTGACCGCTGCTCTCTGAGGGATTCACTCTCCGGTCAGACTAATTGTTCTGGACACAGATGTATTCTGTTGCCTCTTTAAAAACCGGCCTGTTTTTAAATAACAATCATAACAAATTTAAAACATCCTCTTAACCAGGAGATAAAACTGCACATTTTATGTCCTCATCTCCACCATTACGCTCTGTCTTGTATTTTTAAACAGCCTCGGTACATTTTTTTTTTCCACTTAGCTTGTATTTTATGCAGATCAAATCCACCTGCTCGAACCCCAGACGCCTGTTAACAGCCATTTATGAAGTCCCTCTGAAACTTTTAGCACTCATTTACGCTTTCTAGTCGGGCAGATGGATGTGTTCCGGAGGCAAATTATTCCTCATTATTTGGTGGCTAAATGAATGCCTTAGTGCTCTGAGGTACATTAATTCATCTGTGAGTCACCGTAGAACAAAATGAATAAATAACTAAATAAATAAAAACCTTGTTTTTGAACGGGGAGCAGGAAGCGAGACTCTCTTGCAGTGTGAGTGCAGCAGCCGAAACTCGGCAGGGGAGGATGACGCACTGATCATTCATAGTAATGAGAAAGTTAAGTGAGGGGTGAATAATTTGCGAGGCTCCACTGGTGGTGGCGTATTTTTGTGAGGACACACTTTGGTGTCCTGTGTTTTTAAAAAAATGTTTTTTTTTAAACCAACTGAAATATCTTTTAGCTTCTTCTTTTTATTTTTTATAGCTGCTATAAATTTCCCTGGTTGGATGGAACACTTCAGGCTTCCTTTCCAAGACGTAAAGAAAATGTCTATTCCTGGAGTTCTAGCTCCTGATTGGCTGACGTGGTATTTCCTAAAACAGCCTCCACATGGGGTTTCTGTCTGTCTGATGCTGCCAAAAAAAAAAAAAACTTCCTTTCAGTAAGAATAGTTTTACATTAGTTTTTGTATGTAACTGTTGATTTAAAAAGAAAAACCACAGAAGTATTATTATTAGAAATATTAAGACAATATTTTCAACTAACCGCCATGATGAGCCACAATAAGACTGATGATGTCATTTGTGGCAGCTACATTTTTAAAAATGAATTCAGCTAAACAAATCCCCCCCAAAAACTATTTAATAATAAGAAATGAAAAATAATTTAAAAGTTTAATGTGATGAAGTTTGGTCTTTTTTATTTAGTCCCTCACCGCAGCTGGTAGTCTCTCATCTTTTACTCATTTCATTTCATTGCTTTTTTTTACCTGTTTTTGGTAATTACTGTAGCACAGAGACGGAGGAATTACACTTTTATGATAATGGTGATATAATGAATTTCTGATTATAATTGCTAATGAAATGCTATTTTTAATTGTGACCCCGGCCATGTTGTTATTTCCCAGATCTGAGTGTGTATGCA